AAGTGGGGAGAAAGGAAAAAGAATAAGAACCAAATATATCCACTATATAATTTCAAGTAGTGACGATTCTATGAAGAAAAATAAAGCAGAATAAGGGAAGGGCTTTTGTTATGGCCAGGCAGGGTGGCTGGGTAGGTCAGGGAAGGCTTCTCCAAGGTGACATTTGACCAGTGATCAGCAGAAACACCTTCAGAAAGGCACAATATACTCACAGATTTCTCTTTCTTGCACTGTCACCCATACCCCTCTACTCCTCACTTCCTGGGGATGAACCTTGTTCAACTTCAGAGATTATAGAAGCTGTCAGATAAGAATCCCATAAAAGACAGCCACCAGACCTGCAGTACCACAGGCCTGCACCTGCCCCTCAGCCTTTCCTGTCCCTGTACAGGCCTTCCTTGGCATCCCTCTCCTCTACCCCTCCCTCCAGCACCTCTCCCATCAGTTAGCCCCTCTCTCTCCCTATCACAGACCTTGCCCTCTCTACTGGTTCCTTCCCATCCACAATAAAAACACGATAAAGCCTCTCCCACTTAACAGAAAAGGAAAAGGAAACAAAACCTCCCCAGTCAGCTTCCTCCTTCAGCTAGCCCTCTACTTTCCTTCTCTTTTCATATCCTGACTTCTCCAAAGAGTTGTGTTAACTGCCCCAAATTCTCCCACAAAGACCCCCAGCTCTCCAACACTGCCCTTGCCAGGCACCCAGCACCCTTCATCCCAGAAGCTGCCCAGAGCTGTTACCCAGCAGCTGATTCTCCTGTCTCTTGCACTCTCTCCTGGGTGTCCTCCCACCTCTCCTGATGTCTTCTTTCAGGAGCTCCTCACCTGCTGTTCGTTTTTCAAAAACAGATTCTCCTCAAGTGCCCACCCTTGGCTCCTTCTCATGCTGCACCTTCTTCCTGGAGACTCTCACCTACTTTCATGGCTTTCTTTACCATCTTCCTGCCAGCAATTCCTCAACCGACAGCTCATACGAGCTTACCTTTCTCCTGAGGTTCAGAAACAATAACTCCAACTGCCACCTCTGTACGACAAGCCCCTCAGAACCAGCATTTCAAACCTGTGTGTTTCATGCATATGTGTTTATACATATCGTGTTTGCCCCCCAAACCTGCTGCTCAAAAATCAAACTACCACTCACTCTGCTACTAGCCAGGAATATGAAACGTAACTTTCTCCATGATTTATGGCGATGCCATGAGGGATGCCCTGTGGAGTCTGGCCCACCACGTGACTTTTACATTGGAATCAGCAAACCAGAGCTTCTTAACTAGGTGTAGCAGCTCATGGGAGGAGGCTCCCACCATGAAGCTCTCCAAATCCAGTATCTGAAGCTCCCATGCCCAGACACTAATGGGTGCTGCCAGCCCTGAGCCTCTTCCTGGGTCTCAGATGCCCACATTTTAATATCTAGACATAGAAATGCATTTCTGGTTACAATTTAGTCTTATGACTCAGAGGGTCTTTTCTCTCTTTAGGATCTTTTCTCACTTTCTGCCCTTACCTAGCTGTGTTGACGCCTCCAGTTTAAGAAAACTTCAAGAACAATTCTTGTTCTACTTTTTCTAGTGCATGAAAGGGACCTCGCTGATACCTTACATTGATATCTTGATATTTCTCTCTTCTCTGCTCACTAAGAACTGGCCTGCTCCACCTCTCATCTCTCCATCCCAACATCTGCCTAGAGCATCCCAACCATTGTCTCCTTGCCTATTTGCCCTCTGTCAATCTATTCACCGTCCCAAAGCAAAGCAGCCATTCTCAAACACAAATCTGATGTTGGCCCTCCTTGCTTCAGTCTCTTCAAGGGCTCCCTATTGCCCTCAGAATAAAGTAAATCCTTTTGACATGTCCTCAAGGATCTATGTGGCTTGCTCCTACCCACCTTCAGCCTTGTATCTCCACTGTTCTCCCTCCAGAAGTGCTGAGTTACTAACTGGCACAGAAAGACCTTGAAAACCAAATTCACTTCCTAAACACCTAATTGCAATTTCTACCTCTGCACTTTTCTGCACAGGTGATGGTTTCTACCATTCCTTCTATGCTCACAGAGGCTGCTACTCCAGATCTGTTAGCATTTACCTGAGCCTCACCTCCCTGGACTTTCCTGACTCCCCAGTCTGAGGGAGTCTTTCTCTAGACCCAAGGTTCTATAACACTTACACTGTGTTACTGTCTCTCCTACAGACAGAATTCCTCTAGGGCAGGTTCTTTTTCTTATCTCTTTATCCTCTGGCTTCTGCATAAAGCCAGACCCAGAGTTCCTGATCAGACAATGCTAGTTGCTTTTGAAAAAAGAGAAACTAAAGCTGGATTGACCTGGGAAGAAACAAGAGGATGAAGAAAGAGGATTCCCCAGGGTGCTCTGCAGTGTAGTATTGTGTAGAGATTTGACACCTAACATCTACCTGCCAAGCCGTTCGCAAAGTACCTATACTTTATCCCTTTGATCCACTTCTAACCCAGTAAGATAAAGATAATGATCTTCATTTTCCTGGCAAAGAAATAGAAACACAGAGAGGGGAAGTGACTCAACCAACAAGGCACAGCAAAGGCCCATGATCACAGTTTGCTGAATGAAAATGAGCCAGAGCTCTTTCTTCACTCTATAGCACAAGGTCAAGGGGTCTGCTTTGTGATGAGTGAAGACAGGCAACCTCAGGGATCACCTTTCTTTGGGCTGGGAGCTGGCATCGTCCCCTTTCATACACATAAGTCAGACTGAGATCTTCACACAGGGACTCCAAACTCAAGCCAACAATAAGCATCTCCTTAAATCCCAGAGTGAAATGAGGACTCTAGGAATAGGATATGCGCCCATGTCAAGGGGACACAGTGTGAAAACTGAGTAGGATGGTAAGTGGCTATACCAAGATCTCCAGACAATGATTAGAAACAAGAAGAGAAAAATTAATCCTGATGGACAGTTCTTTCTCACCTCCAGCCCTTCACCCACCAGTCTTTCTCCTTCTCTTCCTTTTCTCACCATCACTGAGCCTAGAAGTCAAGTCCTTTATGAGGACTGATCACAACCCAAATTAAAGCACAGGATACCTGGGCCCAATCTGGACTTTGTTCTTGAGCTCTTAAGAAAACAAATACCTATCATACAGTCTTAGGAAAACACCTCACCTCCTCTGAACCTCTCACATCTTTATGGAAGGAAAAACAATCTCCACCCTGCCTCCCAATTTGTCAGGTTCAGGTTGGATCCAACCAATGGCAGAGGTGCCAAGCCCAGAGGAATGCAGAGGTGTTGTGCCTGTAGTGGCTCCTCAGGAAACTTTTGTATTGCCCAAAAGCAGCCACCAGCCCTAGCATACTCTTCCTGGTGCCAAGTAAGGCCCTTCAGATAGTTGTGTTAGAGCCAAGAAGCCAGAGCCAGGCTGTGTCCCAGGCCTTTGTATTCTCAAGGCAGAGGCAGGAGCAGTTTGGTAGAGGAGAGCATAGAGATAGAGCAGCAAGGTTCCTGTCCTAGGGAAGACACCAGCTGAGGGCAAACCCAACCTTGGTGGAGGCAGGTAGAAATGAAAGGGATACCAGAGGAAATGGATGGAAGGTTCACCTAAATACCTTTCCTACCCTCATTAGAGTCAGACCTTAACTTTCCCATGCCCTTCCTTACGTACTTAACCAAACTCTCCCAGACACTCCTAGTCCTTCCATTTCTCCTCTCCATTACTCACTCTCCTCTGTGGATCCCCCTCTCTACTCTTCAACATTCACTGCTGGTCCATCCAGTGATGCCTACTCTGGGCCAAGCTTTGTGCTGGACCCTGAAGGCACAAGGATAACTCAGACTAGATCTCCATCCTCCAGTGATCCCAGTCTAGGAGGGAAGATGAACAAATGAAAAGAGGATTACAACTTTATGGGACTAGTGCTGAGATAAAAAGAATGGGGCTGATGTAGTATCTTGGAGAGGCACTTCCCCTGGCCTGGGAATAGGAAACTCTCAGTTGTCTGTTTTTCCCTCCAAACATTAGGCTCCTTGAGAACAGCATGGGTCCCCCTTCATTTTCTTCATCCACTCTCTTCTTTTCTGGATGCCCCAAGGATTCAGGGAGTTTATTAGGTCATATTGACAGGTTATTCACAGGGGTAACTATAAACTCATTTATAGTGTTTGCTCTCCAATGTCAATCCAGGAAGAGAGGAAATGCCCTAGACTGAGATGAGAAAAATGAATTCAGAAGGTAGGAGAAGGAACTGAGTCTCCCTCTCTGAGCCTTAGTCTCTGGAATCTATAACTGGATTCCCAAACCCACTGCAGATCAAAACATTTGGGGAGTATTTTAGATTCAGACTTCTAGTCCAAATCTGACAAAGTAGAATCTCCAAGGGCTGGAGACCCAGGAATCTCCTTCTCCCAGTTGATTCCAGTTCCCTGCTCTGTATTTAGAAACTTCTGTTCCAGGTGCCCATGACAGTAGGGAAATAGGAGGTATTCCTGAGAGGGGGTGCTAAGGTGGTCCCCACTGGAGAAGCAGGGCAAGGAACTGAACCCAGGAAGATGCTGAGACCCCTGAGCTGCCACAGGTGCAACAAGGAGAACACTACCTCTGGGCACCAACTGCTTGGACACTTGGGCACCTCTCACATGACAGGCATGGAATTCTTACACTGCATTGAATAAGGAGGATGCTGATTCAGCTCTAACCATGATAACTATTTCCACTGGGCGGGCTATCCAGAGACTTTCTTTGGTTTTCCCCTATGCTGTCACCAAGACTTTACACAGCCTTATCTGACCTTTGGGCCTCAGAATGCTGGGAGAAGTCTGTGGCCTGATTGGACCCCGTCTTGGAAGCACTCCCTCTTCTGAAGCTAGCTTGAAAGGCAGGCATGACAGGAAAATTCAGGTGGGAAAGTTGAATGAGATCTATGGCTCTCCAGATGTCATTCCCCTCCCAAGTTTTTGGTTCCCTCCATGCCCAGGGATTAGGCTTGAAGGAAAGGAAGATGCTGTGTTTCTCTACCCCTCCCTCTCTTCCACCTACCTCATGCGCATGCCCATAGAGCCAATGAGTGGGGGGTCCTGGGAAGCTGTCCATAGCCTTGACCAGCTTCTGCCTCCGCAGCAGCAGGGGGAGGAATTTGATGAAGCCCAAGACCAAGATCAGCCCAGAAGCCCACCAGCCCAGGTGGGAGAGGTTCAAGGAGAGGAAACCAAGCGCCATGGCAGGAGTTGCAGCCACCTCAGGCTCCAACCTGTTTCCAGCTCTCCCTGGAGCTTTTATACTTTAAACCCAGGCATCCTGCCAGCTCCTATCGCCAGTCACGCCCTGCAGCCAGTAGCTGGCTGGGCTAAGTGCCACAGGGTGGAGACGGCAATCCCAAAAGTCGACAACATTGGAGAGAGTTTGGCTAACTTCTTAAAAACTCAGCAAGAAAAGGCAAAGTGAAAGGAATCCTGCCTTGGTTCCTTGGAGGAGTAAATAAATGGTAATTCTTGGTTTAATTTTCAGCATAATAACTGCCTTGTCATACAAGCACTTATATGACACTTTTATCCGGGCACTTTTTATACACTATCTCATTTAGCTCAGTCAACAAGAAGGTTGTAGATACTCTATACCCATTTCCCAGATAATGAAATTGAGGCTCAGTTGGCTTGAGCTTTCTTACAAGAAAACTTCCACGTTCCCTTTCAATATGGACCCTTGGGAGGCCTTGCCAAACTCAAGATAATTTGAGTCCTTTTGTAAATTACCTTTAGGGATGAAGGTCTAGTTCCAAGAGGGATATTCTGTGTCATAAAAGGGCCACTCCACTATTAAAACCACGGTATAAATTTGACATGTAAAAGCTTAGAATATTACTTTCAGAGTGATGAGGAAAGATCACCAAATTCAATCTCTCCTGGATGGATGGAGCCACTTAGGCACAGAGAGGAATAGGGAAATGTCCAAAGTTGTAGAGCAAAGCAGTGATGGCTCTCAATGTTCCAGTCCAGGGACCTGTTGAAAAACAAGCTTGGTCCAGGCCCCCACCTGGAGTGAGTCTGCTTTCTCCCTGAAATACTGAGTTATTTCAGTCAGAGCCCCAGCAGGTAACAGAACCCACTGCAAACGTTTCAGACGAAGAGACTTCTTTCAAAGAGTTGGGCAGAGTTAAGGAATCAGACAAGCATGGTACAGCATGCAGAGACTAGTACCAGTGGAAAATCCATCAATCTCCCTAGGCTGAAGCTACAAGAGGAGGAAATACTGTCATGTTCCTGGAGCCTGGTAGAAGCTGTATATATGCATCCATTGCCAGAGAAGCAATGCCTGAACAGGGAAGAAACAGAGAATAAATGCCCCAAGCTCTTTCCTCTCCCACCCTCTAATCTCTTACTCACGACTCTCTTCAGCCAACCCCAACCAGATGTGAGATGACAAGGGAACCAGTCTACAGAAGTCAGCCCCTCAGCAGGGAGTGAAGAGCTAAAGTCTGAGCCTGCCAGGGAGATGGCCAGAGACAAAGCCATGCACAGGTGGGCTTGGAACTCAGATCACAGATGATGTTGGCTCAGAGACTAACATATCATCCTGACTTCCTTGTCCTTTCTGGCAGAGGACACCAAGCTTTCTCCTGTGCTGAGGAGATATCATATCCAGTCTTACCCATAGGCTGGGAAATCAAGAAGACAGTACAATGAAAGGAACTCCAAAAGTGTCTTCTCCATTGTTTTGTCACACTTTCTGAAATTCCACATTTATGCTTCATTTCATTGGACCCATTTCTAGGGCAAAAGGCAGGTCATCATATGGCCAGAATAGAAAGCTGGGCAGCAGCCAGCTTCCAGGTCCTAATCCTACTAGTTCCCCATCTCAAGTCACCTGGGCAGTGTGATTCTTCAAAGCCAAATGTGTCTCCCTGATGCTTCCATCTGCTGATCTCAGTTCTCCCCTCCAGATCCCCATAGAAAATTTGAACTGTAAAAAATGCTTGGAAACAATGCCCAGTTTAGTAGTACATCAACTGAAATAGGCAGGCACTGGCTTTAAAGAGCAGATTGTGTATTACTTCTCAACTGTGTGTTCAGTGATACCACATTGGTAGCTTGAAATTGGCCAAAAGGGAGAATTTATACCACAGAAATTGACAAATACTACAAATGAAGGCTTTTACCCAAGGAGCCAGCCATCGAACATTTTCCAACACACCATCACCCCCAAGCCCAGGATGCAGAGTAAGCAGTTCTCCTGAGTCATATTGGGAGAAACCCCTGATCATGATAATGTGCATGGAGTCATGGAACTTGCCTATGAGACCATTCTCAAGAAGACCTGTAGGATAAGACTGGAAGACTCCTTCTCAGACTCCAAACTTCAAGGAATCTTTTAGGTCTTTAGTAACTACTAATTCCTACATGTCAGAGGAGGTCCAGGCCTAGGGGAATAGGAAAGGAAGGAGTTAAGGAGATGGAAAACTGAGGCCATCTTGATCTAACTAACCCTAACCCAATACCTCTTCTCCAGGAAGTCTTCCTTCCTACTCTTTACCTTCATTACCACTGATAAGAGCCACCCCTTCATTAACACTGATCAGAGCCAGTCTTCCACCTCTACCACCTTAGTCTGTAATTTTCTTTGAGTGTGTTCACTTTCTCCCTTGCAACAGTAATTTGAATGTTTGTCTTGTTTTCAAATCCTCCCATTCTACTGAAAAGTAGAGACTGAGCTTATCTATTCCCTGACTTAGCCGGAACAGAAGATATTCAAGCACTCAATGGACCCATGACCAGGTGCATTCACGAAAGAACCATCCTGCAACACTGAGTGAAACAAGAGCAAAGGTAATATTGCCAATGTGTACTGCCACATGGCACAGCTCTCATCAGGACTTCATAAACCTTCAAAGGATGTTAAGGGTCCTCCCCACTTCCTCAGTACCCAGCACCCATTATGAACTTAATAAATAAATCATTGTTTATTGAATGAATGTTGAAGGAATTGGCTATTACCATTGGGGATGTGGGGAGGACACAGTGAGAAAATGTTTACTGATCCATGAAAATATATCGGAAGTCCTGTACTGATTCCCTTCTGGACAACGTAGTCAGGACCTTTTCTAGCTGGGTGCCAGTAGCCACTCCCAAGTGGAGAGCCCAGAGCCACCACTGTTCCACCTGGGACCCCACCTCAGTTTCCCAGGGACATCAAGATGGAAGGAATGATATATGTGAATTCTTGACAAAGGCAAGGGGAGCCAGGTGATACTTGGAAGAAAAAAAAAATGTGTCGGGAACAGTATTCTCCACCATGCATGCCCATTAGAGTCACCTGAGGATAAGACTGGAAGACTCCTTCTCAGACTCCAAACTTCAAGGAATCTTTTAGGTCTAACACCTTTAAATATCCCTGTTCTCTGTGTTGGCCCATGATCTGTCTCTCCCGCTCATATGGCTTTCGTCATGGCTTTCTCTTATTGAAAGAAACCCCTAATCACAACAATGTGCACATTGTAAAGTTAATGCATGTGTGAGGGTAGTTATTATCATTATGGTCAGTGCCCAAAGTTGGTGAGGGGTAGGGGAGATGGTTCCCTGTTCTGGCCCCTGGAACTTCCTGATCTTGTTGATCTGCCCTGCTCCCTCTATCTAGGCTGCATTGGCTCATGAGCATTCCCAACCAGCCTTGGCTGAGTACCTTTGTCCTGGAAGTGTGGGAGGAGTAGAGGAAGAAGAGTGGAAGGTGGAGATAGGGAGGGCAGGAGCTAGTAAGGGACGTGAAATAGCTGGGCTGGACAGAAATTGATTATTCTCTAGGCTCTTTCTGAGTTGAGGATCCAGGGAGCATGTAGTCTTCTTCCAAGGTGCTCTATTCTCTCAAAGATAGCTTTGCCATGAGAACAACAAAGGATACAGTATGATAAGGAGGATATAACTCAGAACCCCTGTTCTTCCCTGGACACCAACCCAAGCACTTCCGCCTAGCATGGTGTGACAAAACTGCCTGCCAACTATGTAACCCCTGAAGGAAACAAGTAAGAGATGAGTCTCTCAGAAGGATGGACACACTCTTGGCAAGTGGAAGAGAAATGAAGATGAGAGAATGGAACAGATCTGCATCACAGAACAGAGCCACAGCAAGTAAACAAAGACAGGCCAGCACTTGGGAAGATAAATGTCAATGGAGACTTCTTTCATCTACATACAAGAGAAGAGACAGGAAAGATGCCACTTTTCTTTCTTTCAGTTATCAAACTGATTTATTCCTTCATTCATGAACACATATTTACTGAGCGCCTGCTAAATACATATTCCTAATTTTTGAGAACTATTGAATATTTGAAATAAAATGGTATACCAGACAAATAAGAAGTTCACATTCTGACATGATTCTCTCAGAAAGAAAGGAAGGGAGAGAGAGCAAGAGGAAGGAAGAAAGGAAGGAAAGAAGAAAAATAAAGAAAAAAGGAAAAGGGAAGGAAGGATGGAAGGAAGGTGGGAAGAGAAAGAAAAATAAAAGAAAAAGAAAAAAAAGAGATATGTCTCCTCCTGTTCCCAGGTGCTCAGATTCAGAACCCAGGCACCCCCCAGCCACCAGGTAACCCTATTCCTGCTATCACTTCTGTATAAGCCTACTACTACGATGAAGACCCCTTTGTTGGTGTAGAGAATAAAAATTTCCATGTGTTTATAAACTTTGAATGTATGAGTGAATGCTTGCTTAGGGAACTTGGCCCAAACCCCAAGCTCATAATTTCCTGATTGCAAACGACAGGAGGTTATTTAGATTAAATGTGTTATCTGATGGTCTGTGTTTTTCAAATTCCAAGGGTCAACTGGCAATACTTCTTTTTATAATCAAAGTCAATATGGCCCAAGAATGTAATCATTACTGCTGTCTTTTCTAAAAGAAATAAATTAAATTAAATTAAATTTAAAATTTTTTTTCCTTTTTTTTTTTTTTCACTCTAATGAATACAGAGGATCAGAGACTCAGGAGGCTCATGTCTCATATAACTTCTCCCTCTTGACTCAGAACTCTGTGTCCTGAATAGTTATTCCAGGTGTTTCAGGTGACTCTCTGCTGGCAAAAGGGTCACATGTGGGAGTCAAAAAACGTGGGTTCTGGTCTCAAGTCTGCCTGTGGCTCACCAGGTGACTTCAGATGACCTCTGCTGTTCTTGCTGCTCAGTTTGCCCCATTTCAGTGAATCAGTTGGTGTCTAGGAAGCACTCCATAGTAACTAACTATGGTGCACCAGTCCTGGCAGCTATTATGCCCC